CTTGATTTTTCTTGTAGGTAAGCCTTCCAGCTGTGCTGATCTTAAGCGCCTGTTTGGATTCTCAATGGATAAGACGTACACAATCATGCTTCAGGGAAATGAACTTGAGATATATTGTCATCAAATGGACTCTTCAAATCCCAAAGAGTTTCTGTCTTTAAAAAATGAACGAGAAAACTATTCCGAAATTTATCCAAAGAGGTGATTTGCAATATAATTTATTGTAATTAATACATACTATTAATACATTTTAAATTGTTCTCAATGTATTATTAGAATATCTAATTCCATACGTTGATAGGTATTTGATGCTCAATGAATCAGCAAAATGGGTTTTGGTATTTATGAAGTGGTATATATTTTTGTTTTTTAGTATGTTTTTTTTACTGGGTCACTTGGAAGAACTTTAATATTAAAGAGACAAATCAATATACAGTACTGTAAAAACAAATGAAAAAAATTATTTAAATGAAAAGACTGTTTTCCTTGTAGGCTACTAAACCCTTATGACTGTCCTAACAAAGGAAGACGAGATGACAACTGCAGATGTACCTTACAGGGTCATGATGACGCAGGGTACACATCATTCAACAAAATTAGATTTAATGTCACAACTATGGAAGTTATAGGTAAGAAACAAACTGCAGGATTGAGACATCATGTAATGAAACAAGGAGGCTGTTTGTCCTGTGTAATTTTCATGAATACTTTGTAGTCTATTCCATGAACACTTACCTAGATAAACCAACTAATATGTAATTTGGAACCTTGTTCACTTTAGATTAATAATGATTGTTTTAAATCATATGATAGTGTTATGAGTACATTGTATGTGATTTAATGCCTTGTTTGCATATTGCATATTATAGTGAAATTTCCACTGGTTCACACTAATTAAGGTCCTGTCCTGTTCTCTTTCCATACTTCATGCCAGTTGTAAATGTAAACATACATTTTACATCCTTCTGATTGGCCAATGCAACACGTAGACTGATTATTATAAAGAACTGAATCATGTGACTGCAATGATTCGATTGAGATTATACAGTATTATATTTTTAAACGTTCTCATATTCATTCCAGTTGATGATGCAACATTCTCCAGCACAAAGGAAGGACACTTTGTGCCGTTTGGGACAGCAGGTGATTGCTATAGTGCAAAGAAATGCCTACAAGGGCAATTTCGTATGAATTTTGATGGAACAGGGTTAGAATTAGCACAAACTGCTAGCTGGACTACCAAGGGAAATTTAGCAACTTTTTCAATAGACAGGGTATGTGCATAAAATATTTGAGAAAATTTGAAATAATAGATGTTTGTTAGACTTTTTAAAAATTGTGTGTTTTTTTTTAATACCTGTATATTTTTTGAAGTCTACATACCTTAAATGATTGGACAGCTCTAATTAATAACATTTTTCTTAAACATGTATTAAAGTAGCATCCCAAAAAGCTCATTTTAAATTTTCACATATATGAAATACATATGAAAAAACATTATGTCAAATAATTTTGTAAATTAAAGATTAGGCTACAAACATTGATTAATGATCTGTTTTGAATTTTTTTTAATGATTTTATTTTGTTTTTGATTACTTACCACTTTGGCAATTTTTTATTCTAGTATTTTTATCTATGATCTATTAAGTTAAAAATTGTAATAATAAGGAAAAATTTCATTTGTTTATTTTTTGCAGGATTTTAAAACAATACGTGGGTCCTGCGGTGGGTTTTGTGGCAAATGCGTACCTATCAGTTTAAAGTTATCATTTATATCATGACATGGGTAAGTTGTTACTTAACTAAAGCTGTGTTCGCATTGAATTAATTTTAATCAAATTATCCATGTAACTGGGCACTTCGACTTTGACATTAGTTAATTTTCCCAAGGTGTGAGGCAAGCTTAACAATGTGAACATTGTTAGTAGGAAGAATAAACAGGCTGTTTTCCTCAAGCATAAAAGCATAATATGACCAGTGCGACCTCATTCAATATTCCTGAGTGCATTCTGAACTTTGATTGGAATGTATAAATGATTAGATTGAACACTCATGCACAATATCTTACTATATTAAAAGTTCATATTTAAATCCAAGTGCATAAAGCGGTATGATATAACCAAGGTGTTACTCTTCGTCTTGGTCAAAATTAATCCAGTGCCATAGTTACCAACCGTCTCGCATCGTGAGGAATGGTCCCGGATTTCAAAGTGATTTTGGATGAAAAACGCATTTTGGAGAAACACATGCGTGGTCAGAAATTGTTCATGCTCTTAATACAAGTCTATGCATGATAACGAATTATCACAAATTAATGGGAAAATGTATTTAAATTAGAAGAAATTGGTTTTATTAAAATATAAAAATGGTCATGTTGTAGCTTGAGTCATTGGAGAGCTTTCGTTATCTCGTTCGAGAATCAATTTACCGAGAAAGTTTCTCTTTCCCGACCAAAACAACCCAGCCAACCATGACTGAAACTAGTAGTCGCGTGCGTTCTTGTGTGTTCATTGTCACAATCAACCATTAATTATGTGACTGGAACCCGGTCCTCCAGGGTTCCAACCTGACCCCGGGGCCCTGGTGCACCCCC